TTGAGACGGAGTTTCACTCATGTTGCCCAGGCTGGAGTGCAATGGCGCGATCTCGGCTCACCGCAACCTCCGCCTCCTGGGTTCAGGCAATTCTCCCGCCTCAGCCTCCTGAGTAGCTGGGATTATAGGCATGCGCCACCATGCCCAGCTGATATTTTGTATTTTTTTTTTAATAGAGACGGGGTTTCACCACGTTGACCAGGATGGTCTCGATCTCTTGACCTCGTGATCCACCCGCCTCGGCCTCCCAAAGTGCTGGGATGACAGGCTTGAGCCACCGCGCCCGGCCCGGTTTCCCACTTTTAAACTGAGCTTGGGAGGAGCCCCTGCCATGGCTGGGGAGGCTGAGGGGCTGACAGTAGCCATGTTCCCATGAGACTCTGCAGCGGGACTAACCCAGCAGTTTGGGAGTGCGTGGCGGGGGCAGGGGGTGGTGGTGGTTTTTTTGTTTTTTCAAGTCACTGAAATGCCTGGGGGTGGGCTTTGGCCCTGCCTTGGCCTGCCAGACCTGACTTGGCCATTCAGAGGCTCCAAATGCCATCTGGAGATGGCGCCCCGGGGGGGCCAGGAGGAAGTGGGGCTGGGGCCCCCCGGGAGCACACAAGGACACTTTGTGCCCCAACACACACACTGCCTTCTCTCCCAGCTGAAGCAGAGCAGTGGCCACAGCAGCTGCTGTCCCCCCCGGCCCCTGGGCAGGTCAGCTGCTCCTGTGCCCACCGGCTCACACAGAGGGGCCTTCAGAAGCCCCTGTGGGTGGGGAAGGCGCGACCCCCGAGGGTGGAGGGTGGCCACTCACCCGGGGGCTTGCACATGCGGATTTGGCTCTGGCCTTGCAGGAGGGAGGCTGGGGGAGTGGCCGAGAGCTTCTCGCAGGAGGTAGTTCTGGGGGCCAGGTCGGGGGCTGTTGAGGCGGGGGAGCACTGGGCGTGGCAGCGGAGCTGGGCCAGCGACGGGGGCATCCCCTGGTAGTGCCGGGTGGCGCTCAGGAGGTCGTTCAGGATCTGCAGGATGGTGCCGATGTCACGCCGCGGCCGTCCGCTGCTGTCTTGGCAGTTGGGGTGTAGCGTGCCTGTGGGCAAAGACGGCCATGAGCAACGGGGACATCCACGGTCACGCATGTCCAGGACAGGCGTCCACAGGTCTGAACTCATGAGCTCGGAAAGCGGAGTGGGCAGGTGGGCTGACATGCACGAGGGACCATGAGGCGGGAATGGGACACGTCCCCGGGACGTGGACGCCTGGTGACCCTTGGCCTCCCGTGCAGGGCCATGCGTGTGTGGGGGGATGCCGGGAGGACGTGTGAAGCAAACACAGACGGCCGTGTCTGCCCAGGATGCGTGGAGTCGTCTGTGGATGGATGTGAGCCCTGAGACGCAGTGTTGCGGGACTCACGGGAGGTCACACGTATGCTGTGACACCTACCAGAGAAGGTCCCTGAGAAGACCCCCGGGGCGTGATTCACAAAGCTCTCGATGACGGCGCCGGGTTTTCGGGAGCGGGGGGTAGGGCTGGCCCCTGGGGAAGACGTGGTGCTGGCACCAGGACTGGGGCTGCCGGTGGCCATAGTGGAACAGTCCATCTGCTAACAGGAGGGAGGGGCGGGTGAGCATGGCCTCGAGGCTCAGGATCACCACCCACCCAGGGTCCAGAGACAGCTCTCCAGCCCAGGTCAGGAGATGACACATCAGTGCAGGGTCTACAGATAAGCTTGTCCAGGGTCAGGACACAACCAACCCAGAGGACAGAATCAACCCATGAGTCAAAGGTCAGGAGATGCCCCACCGGCCCGGGTCAGGTTAGGAGATGACCCACCAACTCAGGGTCTAGAGATGGATCACCTACCAGCCTGAAGTCACAGGCTAGTCCTTCCGACAAGGGACTCACCTGGAGCTAAGAGCCCTTGTTCTCCCCGAGCCTTTCCCAGGATGGCCCACCCTTTGGATTCCAACCAAGGGTCACCCTTCCCTTCCCCAGGCTCACCTCCGGGCAGGTGGTAGAGGCTGCGTGGGACCGGAAGGAGCCGGCTGTGATGGGCGAGGGAGACGCTGGGGAAGGGCTGGTGGGCACTGGGGGCACTCGTGTGGCACTGGACACCGGCCGGCAGGGCGAGGACACCGGGGAGGCTATGCTGGGGTCCCCCCGCGCAGCGGCGGCAGCGGCGGCGGCGGCCGCCAGCACGTGGCGGTGTTGCAGTGGCGCGTGCTGGGCCGCAAGTTGCAGCTGCACGAACATCATGTGGTCGCCCACACGCAAGGCCAGTGTCAGCGGTGAGCGCCCCGACAGGAAGTCGCTGACCTGCAAGGAGAACAGCCCGTCAGCCCAGAGCCCCAGCCTGCGGTGCCCCCAGCCCGGCCCGGCCCCGTCCCCCCAAGCTATGACCTGGGGCCTCTCGCCGCCCCTCTCTGGGCTCTGGGGTCCCTGTCGGTGCCACGGACGCTTAAATAAAATGAATCTGTATTTCCGGAAGCCTCCTCCGCCAGCCCGGCCCGGCCCGGGCGCCGCTGGGGGCTGTGGGGACAGAGGCGGGTCAGACGGGGGCCTGCCCCTCCCTGGCCAACTCTGTAGGTTCTTGCGAGGGGAAACTGAGGCCAGAGGGGGCGGGGCCCAGCTGGCAGTCACTGACCTGAAAGAACTTTCACTTTGCCTTTCCGTCACCCTCACGGGTCCCTAGGTCCTCTCTGCCTGTGATTGGCAGGGGGCTCCATCTCAGCCCCCCCCCCAGCTAGTCATCAGGGCCAGCAAGTGGGTGGAATTCCTGGACAGAATTCTTCCGTCCTAACCTTTGCTTTCTCAAGATAAATATTTATCTGTCCTGGGCGGGGTGGAGGCCGAGGGGGCAGCAGCAAGGCTGCAGGAAGGGGCCCTGACCGCCCTGGGGCTGGAGTCTGGGAGGGCTCAACCTGCCCCAAGCACAGAAACCCTCAATCTGCCCCCATTCAGGGTGGGTATGGGTTAGTGAGATCTGACCCTGTCCTCGCTAAGCCCCCTGCTCTGGGTCCTGGCCAGGGCCCTGCTCTCCCCAGGGGCCGGGATGGGGGGGCGGAGGTTTCTGAGAAGTGACATAGGCCGGGATGACTCAGAACCGACCGCCTCCCAGCTCTCCCTCCCGGCTCTCCGCTGGCAGTGGCTGGCGTAACCTTCTTTGCTTGGGGCCCGTGGGGAGGAGGGGCAGGGAGGTGGGCAGGGTGAAGCCCCCACCCTGAGGCCCAGCCTGCCCGGCCCCCCTGCCCCAAGACAGCCTTTGCAGGAAGGGCCCGGCGTGGCTTCCCGAGAGCAGCTGGAGTCACCACCACCACCCGCCCTGCAACTTCCTCCCTGGGGAGGGCGAATGGGCGGGCATGACTCGGTGCCAGGCAGGGAAGCAACCCTGGGGAGCCCAGTGTCTCCGCCCAGCCTCCCCAACCCCAGCTTCTTCCTGACGCAGGCGCCCGGGGAGGAGGGTGTGAAGCAAACACGCCCTGGGCCCCCTGCCAACCGCAGCCCTCCAGTGTTGGGGAGATGGGCTCACACTCGTCCCAGGAAATCACCTGCGGCCCCCACCCTGGCTCAGGACCCCTGGCTCTGCCCTCATGCCACCGAGGCTGCCGCGGCCACCCCCACGGCAGACCACCCAGCTCCTGGGCCCCCATCCTGCCCCCTCGCCGCAGGGAGAGGGCAGGACTCTACAAGTCATTGGGAAGGGGGCGCAGGTCTCAGGGCTGGGGAGGCCTGGGAAGCTGGCCACCCCCTTGCCCGGGCAGGTGGCAGCCTTCGTCCCCCACCCTGGCAGCCGGCGTATTGCTGAGGCCTGTGTCACCCTCCTGGGAGGTGGCCAGGGCCCTTGTCTGAGGAAGGCTTGGCTAACGCCAAGAAAATGAGGAAAGGAGGAGGAAAAAAAAAGGCCGCAGCAAAACCGGGAACCGAGCGAGGGCCAGCCCCAGCCTCCCTCCTGGCCGCTTACTAAATATTTTCCTAACATCCTGTCTAGGCTACGCTGGCCTTAGGGCTGGGCGCCCCCACCCCCTCCCCTTTCGGGGTAGAGAACAAAGGCCAGAGAGAGGAGAAGGAGGGGGTGACAAGGTCCCCACCCTCTCACAATGGGGTCACAGAAGGCGGAAGGAGTGTCACCCAGGCTGCCGCCTCCAGCCCCCACAAGAAAAGTAAAAAAGGAGAAACTCTCTGGGGAAGCCACAGTGGCTGGCAGGGGGCGCGGGGGCAGGGGGGGCTCCTCAGCGGGGGCGGAAGGGGCTAGGGATGAAGGCCCGGGTGTGAGTGCCCCATGGGCCAAGGTCACCTCACAGGCAGTCTTGTGAAAGCCAGGTCCCCTTCCCCCAGGGCAGACACCGTGGGAAACAAAACCCTTTAGGTCAAGTGGTGAGTCTGGGGGGGGAGGAAGCGGGAGGCCAGGCCAGGCTGGCACCCAGGCAGGGTGGCGAGTCCCTTCCCGTCCCCCAGGGCCCCATCGGTGGCCAAGGCACCCTGCCCCCAGGGCGGCCCTGTTAGGAAGGGGCTGGCAAGGTCTTACCTGGGTCTCCGTGAGACTCTCCAGGGCTTGCATCACGGACTGCTCTGGCCTCGAGGCCTGAGACTACAAAGACAGAAGCAGGAAAGCGGCCTCAGTGTGGGGTTGGAATTGGGGGCTGAAGCGTGGGGTGGGGAGGCCCTGCTGGCTGGCGGGGAGGGGCCCCAAGTGGAATGTGTGGGGACAGGTGCCGAGGGAGGGGCTACTGCCTGTGTGCGGGCCTCGGGGGACACGCCGCCCCACGGACATTTACCATGAGGCCCGCTTCCACGGTGGGTACCAAGGTCAGCTTGCTGCCATCACCCACGCCGAACTCCTGCAGCTTCCCCGAACTGAGCCGGCTGGGGGAGGGGAAAGAAGGAAGAGCATGAGACTCCTCGGAGACGACACAGGGACGCGGAAGCAGAGGCCGCGGGGGAGGGCTGTGCTTGTGGGGGGAGAGACGGAGAAGTTCCCACCCCCACCCCTTCCCGGCTTCCAGATCCTGGGCTCTGAGCGCGTGCAGAGAGGGCTCCGTCTGGTGCCGGGAGCCCCCATCCTAGAGATTCCGACCTCCTCCCTCCAACGGAATCCCCGCCTTGGACTCTGGCACCCCCTCTGCACCCCAACAAGGCACTTTCTCCTTGTCTGGGCCCCAGTGTGCTCTGCTCTGTGCCGCCTTACCCAGCGCCCCAGGGCAACCCCTGCCTCCAGTTCCCTGACTCTAGCCCTGGCTCGTCTTTGTGGGCGCCACGGGTTTCAGCCCGAGGAGAGGCCCTGGGGGCTGCGCCGGGCCGGGCTCCCCCTCCTCCTCCTCCCTCCCTGGTGCAGGCCGCCGCCGCCGCGCAGACAAAGGAGACCCTCCCCCTCCGCCCCTCCCCCGCCGGGCCCCTCCGCTGGGATGGACACTGCGTGTCCCCGGAGGCCCTAGGGAGGGGAGGGCTCCGGGCCTGCAGGAGATTTAAATACCAGGGGGGAGGGGAGGCTGCGGGGAGCACTCCGAGGCGAGAACAAAGGGGGGAGAGAGACGCAAGTGGGGGGAGACAGCCAGACGCAGAGGAGGCCGCCGAGCAGATGCGGAAGCCGGCGCGGACGCAGGCGGGAGGGGGCGGCGGCGGCCCCCACGCCCGCAGCCGGGACCCCTGCGCCGCCCCGGGATTCCTGCCCGCCCCCGAGGGGGCCGCCGAAGCCCGGCCCGGGACACCCTCGCTGCCGCCTTTGTGCCGCGACCCCGGGCGGGGGAGGGGGCCGAGGCAGTCGAGGCCGAGCAGAGGGCGCCCGAGAGCGCGCGGCGCGCCCCCGCCCCCCGTCTGGCCGCCCCCTGCCTTCCCCGCGCGGCGCGCTCTTTGTTCCCGCCCGGGGGCCGGGGCCCGAGGGGGCGGCGGGCCGGGGGCGCGCGGTACCTACGTGTCTTTGTGGAGAAGCGCCAGGCGCTCCTTGGGCACTTTGAGGCGCTGGGACAGCCGCTTGCGCAGCCCCTCCACCGTCTCGTCGGGCGGCACGGCCAGGTCGTAGCGGGTGCCCGTGGTGCTGTGGATGGCGAGGCTCATGGGCGCCGCCTCGGCCGCTGGGCCCAGCTCGCAGGCGCCGCCGGGGGCCCCGCGCCGGCAGCTCCGGGCGCCGCCGGGCTGCGGCTCCATCCCCGGCGCGCGCTGGGGGCGCTGGGGCCGGTGGGAGCCGCCAATCCTCGCTGCGCCTCCGGGACAGGGGCGAGGGGCTCCCCGGATGCCGGGTCCTCCGGGCACTCGGGGACGCGGAACGGCGCGCGTCCTCCTCGAGAACGTCCCGGCCGCGGAACGCGGGACCGAAATCCACGATGCGAGTGGCGCTCCGGGGTCGCTCCGGCTCTTGGGGCGCCTTCCGGGGGTGGGGACGGCACTCGCTGCTCCTTTAAAGGGCGGCGGGCGCGACCGGGGCGCGACGCGGAGGAGGGTCCTGGGGAGGGGGCGCCGCTCGGCCGGTGGCGCTGGGTGCCGTCTGCCGCCCGGGTCGCGCTTCCCCTCGCGTCCCCTCCCTTAGCAACAGCCGCCGCCGCCGCCGCTCGGAGGATCTGGGGGTGAAAGTAACAAGAAAAAAAAAGTTATAATGTATCAACGTTCCAGGGGGCGGGGCCGCCGCCCCCTCCCATTCACTACTTACTCCGCCGGCCCCGCGCCGGCCAATCGCCGCGCGCCGAGCGCCCAGTCGGCCGCGAGCCCGAGCCAATGGGAGCCGCCGCGGCACCGCCCCACGTGGCAGCCGGGCCCGCCCCTCGCCCCGCCCCCGGCGCCCGGACGACCAAGGGGAGCGAGGCGGGGGCGGGGCTGGCGCCTCTCTGAGCCCGCCCCCGCCCCGCCCCGCCCGCGCCCGCAGCCATTCATAAGCGCCGGGAGCCCGCAACAAAGGGCGGGCGGGCCCCGGGGGGCGCGGGACCCCGGCCCCGAGACGGGCCTCGTCCCCTTGGCGACCCCCGGTGAGCGGTCTGGGAGCGGGAGGGGGCGCGGGCCATTGTTCCCGGCGCCAGGAGGGGCAGGAAGTCGTGGGGCCGCCCCGCCGCGTCCGTCCGGGAAGAGCCGCGAGCGGAAGCGGGAGCGCGAAGTCCGCGCCTCGTGGCCGGGGTCCCGGCGGGGACGCTCCGGCTGCGGCCCCCGGGGCGGGCGTGGGGGAGTGGGGACGGGGTTGGGGCGGGGTGCCCGCACCGCGGTGACGTGGCTGGGTGGCTGCTGCCGGGGGCCCCGCGCGCCCAGCCCCCGGCCCGGGCAGAGCCCGTTTCCCGAGGCGCGCCCGCCCGAGCCGTGACGTGACGCGGCGTCCCCGGCTGCGCCCGCGCGCGCTCGGGATGCGGTGAGTCAGCAGCTCGGGTGCGCCCTCTGCCGTGCCCGCCCGGGAGCGCCGCCCGGAGTCCCGGGGAGGGGGCGCTGCGCTGCCCCGGGCAGGGGAGGAGGACGGCGGGGCTGCGCGCGGGGGAGGAACCCCGATCGGGAACGAAAGACTAAGTCGGGAGACCGGGACCGCGTGGCTGGGAAACGGAGGCGGAACGGCAGCCAGTTCAAGGTCACTCGCGGGGAAGGGGGAGTGCCCCGGGGGGCGGGGCGGGGGCTGAGGTCCGGCCAGGGCGGCGCTGGCTGTGCGGGGCCCCTCCCACCCCGCACCCCGGGGGGCTTCCCAGGACCAAGGGCACCCCGAACCCCGCCTGTCCCAAGAACAAAGAAAAGTGCGGACATCCCGAGCCGTCTAGAGTGGAGACCCTTCCTCGCCCCGCAGGTCCCGCCCCCCACTCACCGGGCACGGCCGGTCCTGGACCCCAAGTCCTGCGAATACACTCGTCTGGAGTCGAAAGCGCGCTGGCCCGGCCGGTCTGGGCCGAGCGGGCGGCCCCCAGCCTTTATCCGCGCCGCCTTCCCTCGGGGTGGAGTTTGGGCGGGCAGGGGGCGGGGGGCAGGGGGCGGGGGACCGGGCGGGCGGTGACGCAGACTGGCCCCCGCCCCTGCCTGCCGGCCGGGGCCCTGGGGCACCTTGGCAGCCGAGCCACCCTGTACCCAGGCTTCGTGCAGTTCATGGGTGGACGCCCCTTGAATGCTTGGAGACAAGGGTCTCAGCCTGCCTTCTGCGGGCCCGGATGCACCCTGAATCGTCACCTGGACAGAGTTTGGGGGTGTACGGTGCGGCTCTCTGCCCCGCCCCCTTCCTGCCACCCCAGGCCCGGTGTTTCCGCCTGGAGGCCCCAGCGTGGGGGGGACGGGAAGAGGGGCCTGAGTCAGCGGCCGTCGTCCAGGAAAACAGGCTGGAGTCACCTGCCGTGGAGTGGGGGTGCCCGGGCCAGCCCTGGCCTCCTGCATCTGTCAATGGTGACCTCAGAGGGCATTTATGGAGCGATTAGCCAGTGCCAGGCCTGCCTTGTGCCCAGCCAGTCACCATCCGGCTATGCTGTGACCTCGGGAGGTAACTGGCCTCTCCCAGCCTCAGTTTCTCCACGGTGCGTGGGCATGTAGTGAGAGGATGCAGCAGGCTCACGCTGGGACCATCGCCCCCTGTTAATGCAGGACATGGACTCATACCCAGCCTTTGGGATGGGCATTACCCCCACTTTACAGATGAAGAAACTGAGGCACAGCCAATGAGACAAAAATGTGAGGTGTATCTTACCTTTTCGGTAGTGGCTTTTTGAGGGTGTCCCCGTTGGGCTGGCCCCTGTCCTGCCCCTCTGTCCAGAGAAGGGGACCCCATCCCTACTGAAGCACCTCCTGTCCACTTATCTGGCTCCTCCCTTTATCTGGCCTGACCACCTCCACCCCCACCCTGGCCATGGGCACCCCTCCCAGGACGGCACTCCTCCCCACCCTGACAGGCACACCCAGCCCCGCAGGGTCAGGGCTAGGCCAGAGAGGGAGAGGCTGGGAGAACCCTTGGAAGGGGGTCACAGGGACTGAGATTTGAATGAGTAGGAGCTTGTCACATAAAAAAGATGATGCCGCCGGGCGCGGTGGCTCACGCCTATAATCCCAGCACTTTGGGAGGCTGAGGCGGGTGGATCACGAGGTCAAGAGATCGAGACCATCCTGGTCAACATGGTGAAACCCCGTCTCTACTAAAAATACAAAAAACATTAGCTGGGCATGGTGGCGCGTGCCTGTAATCCCAGCTACTCGGGAGGCTGAGGCAGGAGAATTGCCTGAACCCAGGAGGCGGAGGTTGCGGTGAGCCGAGATCGTGCCATTGCACTCCAGCCTGGGTAACAAGAGCAAAACTCCGTCTCAAAAAAAAAAAAAAAAGATGATGCCAAGGGTCATGGTGGCTCACGCCTGTAATCCCAGCACTCTGGGAGGCCGACGTGGGTGGGTCACGAGGTGAGGAGATCAAGACCCTACTGGCTAACATGGTGAAAACCCATCTCTACTAAAAGTACAAGTATTGGCTGGGCATGGTGGCGCGCACCTGTAGTCCCAGCTACTTGGGAGGCTGAGTCAGGCAAACTGCTTGAACCCGGGAGGCGGAGGTTGCAGTGAGCTGAGATGGAGCCACTGCACTCCAGCCTGGGACAGAAAAAGACTGTCTCAAAACAAACAAAAATCAACCAAACAAAAAAGATGATGCTCCCAAAGTGGATTAATGGGGCCTGGATGAGGGGCTGGGCCCCGTGTGGGACCTGCAGGGCCAGGCTCATTTTGCTTCCAATAGCAGCAGAGGTGGTGGAAGGGGCTTTGGGCTGGCACTGGATGGGCAATCCTGGCAGGGCATTGGGGTCCTCTGAGTGGCCAGCAGCCACTTCCCTCCCTGCCTCTCATGTGTGGGGGTGGCAGTGGCCTGGGGGTGACCCTGGGGTTAGCAGAGCTCTGCCACCTGGACACTGTCACCTCAGTCTGGTCAGGACTGGAATAGGATGGGTTGTGGGGACATACCGGGCTCCAGGGGGGCCGTTATGTGGCCCTTTGGGGACCAGATGCCCAGAGTCAGTCTAAACTAATAAACATGCTAAAACGCTTCCCCGCCAGTTCCCACACTTGGCATCCCCGTGGTTGAGTGGGTGGTTTCTGGGTGTGATGGGGACAAACCCTGTACTCCGTCCTGCCCACTGAGCCTGGGGCTGCCCTCGCGGAAGGGCCTTGACCGCCTGGGTCCTGGCCCCACCCTGGCTGCCTCCTGCCCGGGGACACATCCAGCCAGCACGGGCTGTTCCCTCAGGGTCAGGTGTTCGGGTGACCTGAGGCCTGGCTCCAAGGCTCACACCTCCCTGGTGGTGGGGGCAGGGGGTCCCCGGTGTGGGTGCTGCTGGCCCAAGCCAGGAGCAGGCGGCTTAGTGAGCAGCTCCTGCTGGGTCCCTGCCAAGCCCCAGCTGTGCCCTTGGTCTTATTTATAGGGTCCTGGTGGCCTGGCAGGAACTCCAAGACCTGGGCCAGGAGCCGAGGGACGGGGAGGGTGGGGCCTGGTCAGAGGCTGCTCCTGTGACCTGGTGGCTGGCACAGCCTTCCCTGGGCTGGGGGTTCCGGGAGAAGTGGGGGACTTGTCACTCGTGCCCTGAAGCCCGGGTAGTGCGGGAGCCAGGCAGGGGACTCTGGACCGTCTCAGAATACCTGACCGGCAGCCCCAGCACACCTGGAGGCCCCCCAATGGCACCTAGCCTCAAGTGCAGCCATGGTGAGTCACCAACGTGGGACGGTGACCTGGGAGTGAGCTGCCTGTCCGTGCTGACTGGCCCTAGGCTGGCCTCTCTGTCACTATCCCAGCTCCAGTGACACAGGCAGGCCCACTCCACTCCGCAGGGCCCAGTCCCAAGGAAGGAGGTCAGGAGACCCCGGCCCCAGCCGCCCGCACACCCCCTGGAGCTGTCGCCCACCCCCTGGGGTTGCGGCAGGGAGGAGTGGCAGGCCCAGGAGGGATAGTGCCAGGGAGCCACCCCCTCCTAGGCCCGCCCCACTCCATCTGGGGCCAACCCAGAAGCCTAGGTGCCCACGGAGGTGCCAAAAACATTGCAGATTCAGCACCCTGCCAGGCAGGGCCACCCACATGATGGGCAGGCACAGGGCGGGGCCAGCGTGGGAGCGGGTGGGGCCCGCCTCTTCCCAGGGGCTGGTAGGTGGAGCCAAGGGCCTGTAGGGCTTAGGGTCAAGGCTCCAAGCCTGGAGACCAGGCACTTGGCAGAGGTGACAGCAGTGGGGACACTCCTCCTGCCTGAGGCCCTCATCACCCTCCCCACCATCATGGGTTGAAGGTCAGCACCCTGCCTGCCCAGCAGGACCCACCCACTCAAGCCTGTTTCCCAAGGACCTCCAGGTGCCCCAAGAGGCAGAGTCCAGGGGAGCTCAAAGGCCTTATTTCCAGGGGACATGCAGGATGTGGGCAGAGGCCTGGGATGGTCCTGGCCTCACCAGGCAGGTGTAGTGACAAGAGCCGTGCACACAGTCAGGCTTCCTGCACTTTAATCGGGCAGGGGCTGGGGCAGCTCATCCAGGGAGGGAGCTCCGAAGTGCAGGTCTTGGCGGCTGGCTCTGGAGGGCAGAGGGGTGGTATGCGGACGTCAGGCTGCGGGCATCTTGAGAGGCGTAAGGAGAGCCCCACGGGTGACAGGCGCAGCCCAAAGCTCAGGAGGAGCATTTCCGTCCCAGTCTCCAGAGCTTTAAACACAGGCAGGGCCTGGGGCCCAGGCAGAAGCCTGCACCGCCCTCTGGTGGCCTCCTTGGCAGTTGTGGCTTTCCAGGGTGGCCAGGACCCCAGGAGCTGGCCAGGCCCACCCGGCACCCCTGCCCAGCCCCCAGCCAGGCCTCCGGGCACCAGACACACACCGTCTACTCCAAGGCCTTCACCAGGGCCTCATTGGCCTCAATTCGGATCTGGATTTCGGCCCGCGTGGCCTCGTCAGCCGCCCCCGACAGCTCCGCCTGGGCCTTCTCCAAGTTCACCTTGGCTGCCTGCAGGGGGTTGAGGGATGGTGAGGGCCAAGCAGGGACCCCAGCCTGGCTCTTGGTCCCCCAGCACTCCCTCCCCCAAAGCCTGGACAGCTCCCGCCTGCTCAGCATCAGGTACCCCCTGACACTCACCCCCAGGTCCAGCATGTCCAGAGTCACTGCTTCTTCGGCCAATAACTGCACGGAAGAGTCGGCGTTCACCGTGATGGAGCCGCTGCTCACTGTGGGAGTGGGAGACGGAAGGCGTGAGACCCCACATGGCCGGACAGCTGCAGGGACTCGCGTGGTCAAGCCCAGAGCTCCCTGTGAACCAGGTGCTCCACAAACACCCAAGTCTGTGTCCTGAGTGTGCCAAAAGGCAGTTCCACAGGACCTGCCCAACACGGCAGACAACTTCTAGAGAAGAACAAAAAAAGGGGTCCTAAGAAAGGACTAGAAGCTGGAGGGAGCCCAAGGACTGATGTGGGACCAGGGACTCCCAAAAGCACTGCCTGGGGCCAGAGGCCCTCCGTCTGACCCACCACCCATGGGCTGTGCTGAGTTCAAACCGGGCTCTGCCACTGGGCAGTGATGCTGAGAACTGCTTTTTTCCTACACAAATGACCTTCCTCCCCTAATCTGACTGGCCCTCCCACCACAGCTTTTGGAGGGCTTTGACACAGGGTTTCACTCTCGTTGCCCAGGCTGAGGTGCAGTGGCGTGATCTTGGTTCACTGCAGCCTTGACTTCCCCGGCTGAAGCCGTATTCTTGCCACCGCCTCCCAAGCAGCTGGGCCTACAGGTGTGCAGCACCACAGCCCGCTACATTTGTAGACGCGGGATTTCACCATGCTGTCCAGGCTAATCTCACACTCTCCCACCACGGCCTTCCAAAGTGCTAGGATTACAGGTGTGAGCCACTGCACCCAGCCCAACATGCTTTCTTTTTTTTCTTTTGAGATGGAGTCTCACTTTGTCACCCAAGGCTGGAATGCAATAGCGCAATCTCAGCTCACTGCA